ACATCTTTTGATTTCGCGACATCCTGTCCAAAAATCAAAGTTTAGTGCATGCGCAGTAACGGGATACTGTTCCTTTCACTGACAGACGACCAATAACATCGCGACGTAATGCGCCCAGCAATGTAAATCCGTGAGGGGGGAGTGCGGGCAAGGGGCGGGTATTTGATGCCTGAGACTATCCCCCTGTCGCAGGCTTTTGATCTTGCCAATCGGAACATTTGACTTTGACCGACAAAAGCCTGATATAAATTCAGAAGCGGTTACCAAGTCCGTCCCTCGAGGCTTTCTGAAAGTCACGCTGTTGGAGAAAAGTGTGAAGTTTTCATTTGTTTTAATCGCCATAATCCAATACTTTAAACTGTCATCTAAGCAGATAATGTCTATTTTAAGAAATTTTTTATATTCAAGTTCCCATCTGATTGTAAAACTCGATTGAAATCGAATTCCACCTTGAAAGTCAGAGGATTTTTTACGGGTCACTGATCCGACCTATTCCGACATGTTGAGCAGATGTTATAAAGCATTTTACGTTTCATTAAATTATAACAGCACGGTCAATCTTCCTAGAGTGATTTTGTTGCTCAAAATAAGAGATGCTAGTGGAGAGAAAATACTTAATTACAGCGAGTAATTTAACGGAGCTTACGTTTAGTAAGGACGTACTTTTGAAATGTTCTTTTAATTTGTTTTATACAGTATTATAGTATTGTTTGTTTAGATTTTTCCCCTGGGGTGGGGGCTTTTTTGACACTTTTGATTGACCTTTCGTTTTCCAACCTGGGGAATTTGATCAAAAAATTTCAAAATTGGTCAAATCCCCACCCTTTGCCCGCACTCCCCGCCCCCCACGGGGTTTACATTGAGAGGTGCATAATTGACCAATCAGATCAATAACCGGAGTATAAAGCTGACCATCAACTGACGTGATACAACTCACTTTGACTCTGAAGATGACTACCGCACAGGTTGTCGAAACGTCAGTCACTGTCAACAACAACAGTCCTATTCAGGACTACGTTCACCCGGACGATCAAACTCAACCTACTTTTGAAATGACTCCTGGGTTCAAACCTTTCACACAAATCATACTTCCACAGGAGCCCATCACCCAATTTTAAATTCGTTTCCTCTCAAATTTCGGGTGTAAGACAATTTTTATGTGCTCTGTCAATTTTTGGCATCAGCAAGAGTCCAACTCATTGTTTAAAGGAAGCATTGGTCACGTGACCTCTAAGTGCAAGTTGCTTATTGATTAAAAAAGAACTCTTGATCGCAGGTTAGTGCAAATGCAGAGAAAAGACCCATAAAAACTCTCAGAATATATCGACTTTAATCAGCTTTTATTAAGTAATCGCTTCTTATTAATCAATTTATTTATTCAGCAAGTGCTTCCACGGGCATCTGGCTCAAGTGGAGAGATTAAGATTCACGTTTACGCCAAACGGCAGACGTGAATTTGTACCACGTGACTAAGTTTTCCCCTTATTTTCCGTTTACTCTTTATTGCTTCTACACAAAAATAAGTAGTTTTATGGCAGTTTTAACCACAGGAATCGTTCCGTACTGTCTTTATCTGCTTATTTTCTATTCTGAGAAATTCTCAACTTGAGTCTGACGTTTGCCGTTTGCGGTAAACGTGAATCTTAATCTCTCTACTGCCGTATTTGTTTCAAGTTGTTTTTAGTGGGAAGATACGAAAAATAAAAAATTCGCTTTGTTTTAGCCCTCCAACACTGTGCAGTAAGACAGTAATTTTGGTTGTCCAATGTTCCTTGCAACTCCCTCTGATCGCTTTTTATCTTCCGATAGTTTTTAATAAGAATCGAATTTTAACGCGAAAAAGTCGATAGGAATCGATAATGACACGAAATTTTGTAATCGATTTTTATCGACAGCGATAGATTTTTATCGAATATCGGAATTATCGACATGTAAAGTCCTGTTGTAGATCACGCTGAGATGATACGGCTTGATTACGTCTTTAATACCAACTCACGAGAAACAAAAGTTTATACCTGCATTATTATGCTAGTAATAGTTGACACTACAGCTGCTCCCGCTCTGTATGTTGTCGGTCAATAGCATTCTTGGTCCTTGTGTAGCTCTTTGAAGTATACTGATTCATAATGAAGATTTTCACACATATTCCATACAATAGGTGAGATAAAAACAGGAAACGCAAGGTTCTATGCAGTGATTCAGTTCGATTTACACAGCTTTGATCAAAACATTCTCAGTTTCGAGAATATTTGTTCTAAGCCATGAGAATATAGTTCAATATAGTTGTCTTTCACTTTTTACAGTTCATTTTATTGGCTGAAAACCAAGCCTTAGAAATTAAAAGATTTGATAAATTCACGCTCGCGCGTTCTAGTCATTTTTTAAACTTTATATGTGAGCAGGGAATAAGTCAGCACAGAATTTAATCCGCCCTGGTTGAAATGGTTGAAAACTTGCCTAGTCCCTCGGCCTCATTATTCCGCTCGGCCAAAGCGAAAATGTGAGGCCTAGACAAAAATCCAAAACAAAAGTGAGACAGCTCATACGGTGGTTTACAAGGCCAGCGTTTCGCATTTCAAGGCTAAAAATACACCGCTAAAAGACACAGATGGGAAGGGAAAGTTCAAAAGAATGCTTAATTTTCTTTTAGTGAACAAAGTAATAGCGTGAACCGGTAAATATACTCCTTAAGAAGTCAAACTTTCCGAAACCCACAAGTATAAGTAAAGAACTTCGTTTTGTGTTTTAGTAGAAAGGTTGTACACTTTGCTATTTACCTTGTCATTCCAATTATTCCATATAATATACGGTCAACTCTTTCTTAACGGACACATCTATAAGATGGACACCTCTAAGACGGACACCTGTTGTTAATCCCTGCCGTTTTTCAGTCATTTTGCTGTAACTGTATACTCTCTACAAGATGGACACCTCTCTAAGACGGACAATGGACACTTGAAAGCGTCAATGGACAATTAGGAAGTACTTTAGGTAGTGAAAAATACCTGAAAACGGAAATGTAGGTGCTCTACATGACAGTGAATTGCGAAATGTTTGATATTTTCTAGTCTTATTCTAGTTCGTATAGTTCGTCCTGTATAGTGTACTATAGTGTTACGCTTTCAGACCACGGAGCTGTCATCGTTTGCTTGTAATGAACGTTTGATTGCACAATGAGAAAGCAATTCCACTCTTTTGTTGCAATGTTTCAGTTTTAGCTGTTTTGTGCAAGTTAAACAGACCCGTGTTCCTTGCGGACAGGTTCAGCTTTAAAATAACTGGTGTCACGCTACCTCGACTCTCCACTAAGCTGGACATCTCTTTAATAAGTACAGTTAGGGCCGGTCCCGAAGGTGTCCGTCGCGTCTTAGAGAGTTGATTGTACAGGTAAATCAACATACCTGTTCAGCAGACAGAAAACTCTTACTATGGACATCCTTTGGGGTGAACTTGATATCACTATGACAGCAATAAACAAAAACCTTTGAAATGGAGAAAAGCCACATTTTGCGCTAACTTAGCCTGCGTTGCATCCGGCCCACGCACTAGTCTAAACCATTTGTATACAGTGGGTTTAGAGCTTCTGCGACTCAGGCAAGCGCGATCTAGACCTGCTACTGAAAAGCCCACACCAGAACTTAACGTGTGGTGTTTAGCAAAGTACCTTCGTGAGAAGTAAAAAATTCTGCATGTTTGAATTCAAATAAAACGTAAATATATTTCAAACCTTATATTGTTAATAGTTGTGATAAATTGTTTAATAAAAAAGTTCTAAATAATTAAAATTAATCTTAAGTAGCGTTAGAATGCTGCCTGATATAATATTTCCATGCTAGGAAATTTGGGGGTGTTTTCTTACTTGCGATCCTGAAAACTAACCTGTTCTTTTCACCGCCTGTCTAAGTCTTTGTAAATTGTAATACAAGTTAAAAAATGTGCAGTTGCCGTTGATGGGTTGTCATGGAAACGATGTAAATACGTAGACTGATACCACATCACAGGAGTCGGAGAAGGAAAAGAACGACATCCTTTTTACCTCTTTGCCCTTCTGGTGATTTACCGCTCAATTAGCCTGCGTAGTAGGCGTTTGAAATGAAGGGAGAACCGCGCGAGTCTCGCCTCCAAATTCCCCTTCTCTTCCATTTCGAACGCCAGCCACGCAGGCTATCGCTCAATTAACGCGTGTCTTCCTGCAAATTACTCACACATTAGTTTCGTAGTTCTCTAACCATAGAAAATGTAAGGGTGCGTCTCTTTACTAACATCCAAGATCAGATCAAAACTGCGGATCACTAGGATTTTTCGTTAAGAAAGGAAACGATGTATCCGAAAAAAAGGATTATTTTTATTATTCATTTCCATAGAAATGACCCACAATATCGACGGATCCCGGAGAAAGAATAACACGGCCGCTGACAATGCTGCAAGTTTGCTGGGTTTTTATTGTATTCTGACGATTAGCTCAAAGATACTGCTTGCTTAAGGCGGGCCAAATGAAGACGAATCTTGCAGTGAGTTCATGATGAACTGGCAAGTAAAGCCGCGGGCTTAGCTGTGTGGCAGTTTTGTCCTTGTGAACTAGAACAGTGCAGGTCCTGTTTATATTGCTTTTTTCCAGCTCCGTTAAAAAAAAGGCGGATTCGGAGTAAAAAGCCGGATTTGGATTTTAGTAATGAAACGAACCCTAAATGCTACCTGAGATCTTCGTGCCAAATAATGTATAATTAATGTAATCTAACATGCAAGTCTTTTTCTCAAAGGCCGTTAAATACACGCCCAATTGATACTTAAAGTTAAAAACCGTTTTTTTCTACCTCTGGTTCAAAAAATCGTGACAAGATATATTACTCCCTTACGTCTCCTGAACGCGCACGCTTAGCACGCAATGACTTGCTGTGGAGGGACGTATAGGGGAAAAACAAGTGAAAAATCTCAAAGAACAAATATAATAACATGTTATCCTTGTGTTTCCTAGAAACTATAAAGAGTCCTTTGGGTTCATGGCTTCTGTGACAGCTTCAACTTCTTCTACAAAAGAAACAACTAACTATGCTAGGCTATGCCGTGTTATTGTCGATGTGGGCACTTGTGCCCTGAGGGATTGCTTTGATACCATCCGTTCACCACCGACTCTTCACACGGTCTTGACAGCCAGTCAACCCACATTGCAATCTTTGAGATCACGAAAGATCATCAATGCCACACAATGGGGAAAGCTTTTTCCTGCAGTCCCTGCGTCAGTATCTTCAAGAGATTTCGACATCACTTTACTCATGACTCTTTTCAGAAACATATGTGGTCTGGCTCCACCACTCACGGGATGGGACGCCCTGCCTGCGGCCACGGACCTCAGCTGTGAAGCGGACATTGCACGAATCAAATACTTTAGGAATAGCATTTATGCTCATGCCGAACACGTTTCTGTTGATGATGCAGCATTCAATAAATACTGGAAGGAAATCCGAGACACTCTAGTACGACTAGGAGGAGCTACATACAAGGTAAAGTAAATCCATTACGAAATACAATATCACAGTCTGATGCAATGATTTATATGTTCCCCGTTCTATTTTAAGGTCGCTATTGACAACCTGGAATTTTGCTGCATGGATCCTGATATGGAGCAACATTACAAAGAACTCCTTCATCAGTGGAAAAATGATGAAGATAACATAAAAGATGAATTGAAAGAAATTGGCATCGACGTAAAAGAAATCGGTACCGATGTAAAAGACCTAACAAAGAAGCTTGATGACTTGGTGGCATCAACTGGGTTTCCTGCGGGACATTCAAGTGATAAAGATAGTGAGTATGTAGAGACTGTGAATGAAAAATTTGTAACTGAACTTACGATGATGTAAACTGAAGCTGTGGTATAAAACTAAAACCAGGTATTAAAAACTAGTTTTTTTTTTCACTCATCTCAGAAAGTGCGACCCACCCCTCGCCACCCCCATATGAATATGAAAATGCATTTCCCGCTCTCACAGCCAATGAATAGACAAGAAATTGGTTCTTTCAACTCCTCCATAAACCAAAAAGGAAAAAAGAAAGGCAAGGCTGAACAACATTTCCAGTGCTATGGGCCTACCCTACACCAAGCCTTGAGGGTTTTTTTTTAACCTTTGAACCAGATATAAACATAACCTGAGCAAAAGCTTAAAACCTACCTTTAAGTGTTATTGTGACGCAAGCCCAAGCGCCTTGAACTTATCTGCCGCTCCTTTTCGGCTTATAATTACGACGCAAAAACTCAAGCAGAAGCTCAAGCTCGAGAAAATTGATCGATTATTAGTTTCTTGTTCTTCTGTTTATAGCGGAGCTCTCGCGCGCGAAGCGCGCCAGCGGAGCACTGTGGGTAAGAAAATTTGGTAAACTATCCACCCGAGAAAATTTGGTTATGACGTGGCGTACGTCTGCCCGCCCGCCCGCCCACCCGTACACACACTTTATGTAAGCCGATGTCAAGTGTCACACTTCTCAGGAGCGAGAAATAAATAGCAACGGAGACTAATTTCGTTGGAAAAAAAACATGAAAATTATATAGCGGCGGTTAGAAAAAGAGAAATGCTAGCGGCTACTAATGTGAAAAAGGAGCGGCAGTGAAAAAGCAGACTGAACAGGAACACAAACATTTCCTCCATAAAACGCGTAAATAGGAAGCTAAAAGAAGTTTCATGTTAAAACAAAGGTAAGGAAATGTACAAAAAACTGCTGCACGTACAGAGTTGGTTTTTTGCTAATTAGAAAAAAAAAGTGTGCTGCACTTGCAAAGTTGTTTTTTTGCTAATTAGATCTATTGTTGTTGTTTTTACCGTTCTTGTTGCTTTCAACTTGTCTTTAGTATTACTCGATTCTATAATTTCTTTGAGGAATCTATAAATATTAAAGAGAGCTTCGCTTTTAGCCGTGGCTAAATCTATATATTATATTCATACGTTATTACGTAGTGTGTATAAATCGGTACGAGACAAGCATAACCACAAGGGTCAAAACCATGGCACTCGTCACGGAACCCCGCTTTTCCACCACTATCTGATTTTGGACTGGATTCCTGTTATAAATTCTTTGGCACCAACAGCAGTATCGACAAAATTTGATACTTTTGCGCCTGCGTGTCTTATCTTTTGTTTATACTTATTTTTATCACACGTATGGACATCCTTGTGCTTTAGTTTCTTTGCACCATTTCTTTCTTTTCGTAGCTTCCCTTACATTTTATTGTACGTGCAGCTCCTTTGTCAAGCAGGATTAACTAACACACTTTTATTTCGTTTAACACAAGGCAACGGCCCAAAAATGGAGGAAATATTAGACGCAACTCTGATGTGCGGAGAGAAATTTCACGAACGAGAACTTCTGACGTCTTTCTGTAAACAGTGCAAGGTGTGTATTTGTGATAAGTGTAGACAAACGCGTCACAATCATCACACCACGGTGGATATCCACCAAGCCGCGGAAGAGCCCAAAGCTGATATCGAGGAAATTGTAGAGGAAATGAAAATAGAAATTGCTTATCACACAGAGCGTGTAGAAAAAACAAAAGAATCCTTGAGAAGAAGCAGAGAGAGGATAGCCACGGCACGCCATAAAGTAGTGAAATGTGTTCAAGAACTTTTTCGACTTTTACATGAACATGAAAGAACCGTGTTAACCAGTTTAGACGCCATTGACGGAAAAGAGCAAAGAGAGCACACAGCACAACTAGACCATTTCGAAATTTCTAGGAATCAATTACAAAAGCATGTTGAGTGGTGCGAAGGTATCTTACAGAGGAAGAGAAGCGCTGAAATTCTGCAATCACATAATGTTCTTATGGGGCGGTCTAGACATCTTCTAAATGCGGAGAAACTGAACGTTTATAAGCCATCGCATGTCAGATACGAAAAATGTAAAGAGCATGTGGAGAATGTGAGAAGCGCAGTTCCGGAGTTGGGTCGAGTTGTTGTTAGTAACACAGATCCTTTGCAGTCTGTGGCTGAAGGAAAAGCATTGCATGAAGGAGACGTCGGAAGCGAAGCAACTTTCAAAGTAACGACAAAAGATGCTGGAGGAGACCAGTGCTACGATGAAAACGATAAGATTTACATTGCAGTTCGATCACCCGCAGGAGAAGAAGAATCCTGCTGCATGAGTGCACTCAGCGAAAATGGCGAGTATAGCTTCACTTACACTCCAAAATGTGCTGGACAACATGAATTCATTATTGTGGTTAACGGTGATCCACTGGCTGGTAGTCCATGGCGTGGTCATGTGACTTCACATCGTTACAAACCGATGGTTTTCTCTGATTCATATGGCAAAGGGCGAAGACATTTAAAATGTCCCTGTTCTGTTGCAGTAAATGACTATTATGTTGCAGTTGCCGACAGGAAAACGGTACAGCTATTTGACATAAACGGAACGTACCAGAGAGAAATTGTAAGTTTTGAGAACAAAGTACCCTCATCAGTGGCATTCACCCCGTCATCTAACATTGTTGTCGTTGCTTCTAGAAAGATTTTTTGTTTCAATACACTAGAAAAATCCGCTGTAAGAAGAAAAATCACCATCAAACACCTAAAATCACCAGCGCACCTGACAATTGAACGTACATGTGATAGGCGCATGGTGGTGTGTGACAAGGGTGACGGTACAGTCAAGGTTCTGTCCTCTGATGGCTCGCAGCTGCTACTCACCATTAGTGACCCTGACCGTCGCCTTCCGCGCTGTGCAATGTGTCATCAGAATAAGTTTTTTGTTTCATATATTGATGCAAATAATGTTTATGTGTTCAATGATAATGGCGTGTTTCTGTACAGCATCGGCTCTTCAGAGACTGGTGACGAACTACTGAATTCTCCTGTTAGTCTTGCAGTTGACAGGTTTAATAACCTGGTGGTGTGTGATCAGAAGGTAGGGCTACAGATATTTACTCTTGACGGAAAATTTTTAAGCAAAATAGAAGGAGTGCACACTGGGTTTAATTCACATAATTCCGTTGCTGTTTCAAGTGATGGCCGGCTTTTTGTTACTGATAAAAATGAAAACTGTGTGCATGTTTTCCAGTGAGAAACCGGAATTTATTAAAATAAGGATCATCGCCGCGAGATTGATATGATTTGAGCAACAGCTCTATACGACTGTAAAGAAAATTAATTTGCTATTTAGCTTACTTGACTGAAAGAGATGATACTGTCTGAATATTTTGACCTCCTTATTGAACAGTTATTTTTGAATATATGTACTGTAATTTTAGTGGCTTTCTGATATAGAAGACCTTTAAGTTCCATTCTGACGGAAATAAGACTCATATCGCTTCTCCAATAGTCTTTAATCATAATATGATGTTAGTAACATACTTTATGGATATCGTAATGCAAGATCATCGATCGCCTGGTTTTCTCGTTAGGTTTACTTTCTCACAACGATAATTTAGACTACCGGTAAGTATAGTATTACACAAATAACAACAATAACAGCTCAACTCATGCTTTTCGGCGTAGCCATGCTTTGAATGTCACATGTCACAATCTTATCGCGAGTTGGTAGGATGAGGCTGAGCAGGGGCGACGCAAGTTCCCACCCAACCAACCCCGCCCAAGTCGGTTTGTCCCAAGGATTGTCTCAGTTACATGAAATTAGGAGCAAATATTTCTTTTAGCGAGTCTAAGGAGGCAATGCATTATTTCATGTTTCACTGATACAAGACTAGCTCAGTTTTTTCCCAAAACGTCCTAAGAGAATCTAAGTAAAGTGACATCTAATGTCGAATTTTTTCATTTCCAATACAGTTTTTAATTATTTTTAGTACATAAAAGAATCGAATAAAGAAAGGGTCCTAACAGGCCTTTATTTTCTTGCCACATTGCTGGTGTGAGACAGATATAATTAAAAACCTCTCGGTTACGGCGTGACGGCGGCGACGGGAGGAAGTTGAGTAGAGGAAATTTAGGAAGATGGTTGAGATTGAGACGTCCTGCTACGAACCAAGAGCTTTACAAGGACGTGGGTAATTGATTTATGAAATCATGTGTCTACAAACTTTTTAAGTTTCATTTGATTCCTGGTTGACAATAGGGTTACGGCAAGAGAGAATAAAGGGAACTCCAGAAGCGAAAATCCGTAAATAACAATGACCGAGACCAGGTTTTATGAGCCCGCGAGACTGAGCACCCTACCCAAACCCTTGTTTTCACTAAAACCACTGGACGTCAACCTGGTTGAGGTCATTGTTATCCGTGAAGGTCTTCCCGCAGTGGCGTACCTATGGCGCGTTATCAGGGTCAAAATAAAAGAGGTACACCCTTCTTTATGAATTTAAAATCATATGTTCCCCGTCATTTAATTCTGCAAACTTAAGTAATTTTCCAGTTTGAATTGTAAAGTTACAATCGGGCAGCATTACACCATAGAAATATCGGCAACACTCCGTCATTACTCCTAAAATAAAATGTTCCCCTGGCATATCATTCTGCTAAGAAAAAAGTCTCTTCTTGTTCTGGGCCCAGTTGTTCGAAGGCCGATCAGCTCTTAACCCGGGTTTCATTTTCTTGTGTTCAAAAGCATTTTCTTGGATAATTTTCTGAGCTATTTTTAGAGCTAACAAAATCATCAACTTGTAGACACAAAGAATTAAAACTGAAATGCTTTTTAAGCTTTCAAATCTGAATTCAAATCTCGCACTAACCCTGGGTTATCTTAACCCAGCTTTGAACAACTCGGCCCTGAATTGTAAATAAAAGCATTACTTAAACATTAATGAAGAAAAGAAATCTTAAATACCCTCTGCGACCAAAATGAAAAACAACAAGTAAACAGAAACGCAGTAGATACTCCTGCTCTCGTGCTTGTTGAATTTGTGTAGATTTTTATCGATTGACTACCCCGGGCTTATAGATGTGTCCGTTAAGCGGTTTGTAATTTATTACTGGCTCAGGAAGGCTGGGCAAGGGGGACCGTAATACAGCTGTTGAGTGGCTTTTTTTTTTTGAAAACAGTAATTTACCATCCCCTAGCAACATAAGCAAAGTGAAAGGAAGTTCAGATTATTAATTCTCTAGAAACTTCCTCTTCCCCTCCACCACCCTCTCAGTTTTCTGTTTTTTCTCAACAGTGCACTCGATTATTCTAAGAAATAGCGTGACTTTGCACATTTCTAACTAAAAGCACTTCGTGGTGTTTTGTAGCTGACTCATTTCATGAGCTAAAATTTACTGTTCTCCAAAGCGAATCATCTCAAATTGATCACCCAGATGACATCTGGCTGAAAAACTGTCGCTCAAAAAAAGGCCTTAAAAACAGTGCCTACGTAGGAGGTCTGAAATGCAGTCAGAATACAAAGAAAAACAAGAAGACGCTAAAGGTGAGGTTCAAAGCGATATTCAATGTACATTTTGCTAATTTAGTAAGCAAAGAACATTTCTCCATACAACGTCTTATAATTTTCTTGCTGTATGAATAATTAATTAGCTAAGTAGGATAATGTTGCTCAGGGCTCTCATAGTGAGCTTGGGCTACCTGTGGTTCGGCATGTGTGAAATTCGACGTTAGAACCGGGTTTAAGTCTGCTCGAGGGGTGGTGGTGGTGGTAGGGGTGGGGGGTGTTGGTCGGGTTGGAGTCGGTGACTTACAATCTGTTTTACCGGTAAGATTTTAACTAACACCAAGCAGCCGTGCACTTTAAATAACTAAAACAACTGATAACTATATCGATTTAGTCTGATTATTCAATATCACAAAACTATTACTCAAATTACTTATTAGCGAGGCGCAATGATTTAACAGCGTCCAGTTGAAGTCCCAGGCGGGGTGGTGGGGGGGGGGTAATCCGGATTTCAAGTGACAGGGATGATCGAAGGATTTTGTTGGGTTTAAAATTTTCGATTTTGGAATTTTTGGGGGTAGGAAAATTTTAGCAAGTATTTTTTTGGGTAGCTTGATTCAGTAAAGTAGGGATTTTTGTGGATATTCAAACGGTAATCTGGAGATTCGTGATAGTTCGCGTGTATCCCGGCTGCGCAGTAGTTCCTCTGGAAATTTTTATGGCTTACAAATTCGGCATGGGATTTTTTGGGGGTTAAATTTTGGTCCAGGGGATTTTGTTTGCAGCCCTAGGGATTTTTTTGGGTTTTTATTTTTGCCCCCATTCGATCATCCCTGTCACATGAAGTCCGAGTACACCCTCTAGGGTTAAAATATCACGTTTCAGTTCCTCCTTTTGGTTTTAAAGTTGTACGGCTATCATCCCTTAAAGGAGGGTGAGTCCTAAACGAAACCAAACGAAAATCCCTGAAAGAATAATAAAACTGATTCGACTAGAAATGTTCTTCTGAATTTTTTTTTGAAATGTTTTTCTAGGCTGGACATGGATTAAGCACTTCGTTTTTATGGCTTCTGCGTTAGCGACACCTGCAACTTCATCTTCAAAAGAGACAACTAATTATGCCAGGCTATGCCGTGTTCTTGTCGATGTGGGCACTTGTGCCCTCAGGGATTCCTTTGATGCAATCTGTACACCACCAACCTTACACGACTTCTTAGCAGCCAATCAACCCACACTGCAGTCTCTAAGGTTACGAAGGATCATCAATGCAACGCAATGGGGAAAACTCTTTCCCGCAATCCCTGCCTCTGTATCATCAAGAGATTTTGACATCACCTTACTCATGATTCTCTTGAGAAACGTATGTGGTCTAGCTCCCCCACTTACTGGCTGGGACTCCCTTCCTGCGGCCACAGACTTCAGCCATGAAGCAGACATTGGGCGAATCAAATACCTCAGAAATACAGTGTACGCTTACGCTGAACACGCTTCTGTTGATGGTGCAAGATTCGACAAACATTGGAAAGACATCCGGGACACTCTGGTGCGAATAGGAGGAGTTACGTACGAGGTAAAAGATTATTAGAAAATGTTCGGTATGATTTTACATTCCTGCATTTAGTGCCCTGCAATTTTTGGTGTTGAATCCACCTGCAAACCAGGGAATGATTATGTGATATCTTCTACTCGCAGGCCGCTATTGACAACCTGCAGTTTTGCTGTATGGATCCCGATATGGAGTACCACTACAAAGAACTTCTTCGTCAGTGGAAAAATGATGAAGATAACATAAAAGATGAATTGAAAGAAATAGGCGCTAACGTAAAAAAAATTAGCACAGACATAAAAGAAGCCGTAAAAGAAATTAGCACTGACGTAAAAGACCTCGCAAAGAAGCGTGGTGACTGAGTGGTACCAAATACGATTCCTGCCAGGGAGGCGAATGCTGAAGGTAAATACAAACAGACCTAATACAACTATTAAACGAACCCCAAGGCCTGAAAGTTAGCGCGCAAGACATCAGCAACTCTCGCCATTTAAAATTAGTTTGAAACAAGAAACAAAGTTGACTTTGGGCAAAACACCCTCTTGACGGGAGGGTGAGCACGCCATACCGATGCTCACAGCCAATGAAAGGGTATAAAATGTTGTCCTTTCAAACTCCTTCTCACTGTGCCAGAAAGAAAAGAAAGAAAAACGAGAAATTGAACAACATTCCTGTCCCAGTATATAGGCCTGCCATACACCAAGCCTTTAGGTTTGTTTAAAAGTGGGAGAAAGACGCAAGCATAAAAACCGGTGTGCAAGTTGTGAGAGCGATGTAGACATAATTATTTTGTGATTATCAACTGCGTCGTTCGGACACGAAGCAGGCAGCGTAAAAAACATAGCACTCGTCACGGAATCTCGCTTTTCGGCGATCTGACGTTGGATTCAAGTAACATTTAAATTCTTTGGCGCCATCATTATACATTGATACCTCTGCCCCTGCCTGTCTCATCTTATGGTAATTCTTTTTTTTTTGTCGGGACCAAGCCCGTACGTGAACCCTGTAAACCCCTTAACAGTGAAAACATGCCATGATACAACCTCGCGAAAAGCAAAAAGTGCATAACATTCATTCCCTTTTGTCCTATAGAATTATCGTACATGAAGCTCCTTCCATCAAGAAGGCTAACCTCATGTTTTTTGGTTTTTCATAAGGTAATGGCACAAAACTGGAGGAGATATTGGACACTGGTTTGGTCTGTGGAGAGAGATTTCACGAGAATAAACTTTTCACATCTTTCTGTGAACAGTGCAAAGTGTGCATTTGTGAAAAGTGTAAACAGACACGTCACAATCATCACCCAACTGTGGATATCCACCGAGCCGCAGAGCAACATAAAGTCGATATCGAGGGGATTGTGCAGGAAATGAAAAGTAAAATTGCTGACTACACGGAGCATGTGAAAAGGACAAAGACATCCTTGAAAAGAAGCCGAGAGAGGATTGCTACAGCACGTAATAAAGTTATGACATTTGTTGAGGAACTTAAGCGACTTTTGCAAGAACATGAGAAAGCTATGATAGCTAGTTTAGATATCATAGAAGGAAAAGAACACAGAGAGCATGCAGCACAACTGGAACATTTTTTCTATTAACCAGTTACAAACACATGTCGAGTGGTGCGAGGACATGTTACTGAGAAAGAAAAGCGTTGAGATTCTTCAAACTCAAAATGCTCTGATTGGGCGGTGCAAAGGTCTTCTAAATGCAGAGAAACTAAACATTTATAAACCATCACATGTCAGATACGAGATAAATAAAGAGCATGTGGAAAATGTGAGAAGTGAACTTTCAGTGGTGGGTCGAGTTGTTATAAGTAGTAGAGATACTTTGCAGTCGGTGGCTGAAGGAACAGGGTTGCAAGAAGGAGACGTCGGAAGTGAAGCAATAATCAAAGTAAAGACTAAAGATTCTGATGGAAAACAGTGCTGTGATGAAAACGATCAGATTTTTCTGAAAATTCAGTCACCTTCAGAAATGGAACTGAGCCACACGATTGCACACAACAAAGACGGCGAATATAGCATCACTTACACACCAGACTGTGTTGGACAACATAAAGTATCGATTGAGGTTAACGGTGAGCCACTGACTGGTAGTCCATGGCGGGTTCAAGTGACTCCACATTGTTACAAATATTTGTTTTCCTTTCACACAGCTTACTACTCCTCGTTCTGTCGCTGTTTCAAGCACTGGCCAGCTGTTTGTTACTGATGTAAACAAACGGTGTGTGCATGTTTACCAGTAAGAAACGAGTTTTCCAAATAATCGATAACTACCGCAATTTGACGGTATTGACTATTTCTCAGTTCCGTATTAAAATTTCATTTCACCCCTTCCTGTCAGCGATGACTGCTGTTGTAACCCTTAAATTAAACCCCTTAGGATGTTCTTGTACATACTGATGTGTATTTTTTCATGCTTTCTATAATGACAATAGGGATTTTTCCCTCAACTTTGATTCCGATATTCTCAATGTACTTACTATGCAAGCACATTTTAAAAAAGCCCCCTTCCTCCCACCCCCAACGGTGGGGGAGAGCTGTGCTTGTAATAAACCTGAAGTTATAATACTCCTCAACCAAAACAAGCGTGCTCCAAATACAACATTCCTCCCTCTATAAGCCATTTACCAAAACAAGCACACTTCAAATGTAACATTCCTCGTTCTCTGTATAAGCCATAAACCAGAAGAAGCGCGCTTCAAATGTAACAATCCTCGTTCCTTAAGCCCGCGGGGGAGGGGGGGGGGGTATTTCCTTATAAGAGGCTAATGGGGATGTGCCGCTGGATGGGGTCGCATCTTCACGACTAGGTTGACTATAATGGGGTCGCATTATGGACTGCTGTCAGTCCGCCTTTTCTCTTAAAATCCGTCTAGTTCTTGATCTCATCCAGTGCGATTGCAAACCACGATGTTTTATATAGGGATCGACGCTCGCGTGCCTAGGTTTTGCGTGTAGTAACTTTGCAAAGAAAAACAAGAGACTGCTCGCATTCTAGGGTCGCATTTTCAACAGAGTTACTAGATTTCCCGATTTTGGGGGGTAAGACAGTTCTTCATATTTACGGTTAGCAAACGAACCAGAATGTTTGTACCGCAGATGAAAATTAAAGTGTTCTTCGTTCAATGTAAAAAAACGGGTCAATTCATTAAAAAAATAGAAAGTGACTAAGTTGGGATCGCGAAAATTACATATTTGCCCAAAAGTGACTAAGATAGGATCTATAATCGGCCACGGAATAGACCTCAATGGGGTAGGGGCTCTGAGAGGCCAGCGGCACATACCCAGCAAAAATTAACCCAAGTACCCCCCCCCTCCCCTCCGGGTCTATAAGCCATAAACTACATGGCCTCCCGCGCAGACGTTCTTATGGGTTCGTCACGCGTTGGCAGTGCCCCAAGAGTTAAAAACTTTTTAACTCTAAAATGCAGCCACCAACTTTTACGTGATTTTTTGGCGCTTGCACTGGTTTCGCCGGGCGACTCGAGATTGGCTCACTGAGTGAACAATAGCCCTCGAGCAAATTTATTTCCAGCAGGGGAAGCTAACTTTGGTCAAGCTATGCATGACCATGTATCGGTCCCTAGAAAGGTCAGCCCAGGGCACCCGGGATGGATTTGATTTGTACAGTGCCCAGGTCTCATTTGCTTGGGTGCGCGTTGATCTGGCCCAGCCACTTCGGCGCGACGACTTTCGGCCTTTTTGGATTATATCCTTGGTGTTTGTAAAAGTCTACTGGATTCGTTTCTCTAGCTGGGAAAGCTTCATTGGTTTTTATATCTGATGCTGTCCTATTTCTACGATCCTAGCGTGTTTATTTACCGATGGAGTTCGAATTTCGTGGAAAAAGTTATGTTGGAAAGGGTGCATGGCGGCTGAGATGCCATCTCGTGCCTCCCATAAGCTATAAGCCTTATAAGGTTATCTTTGATGTCTTAACATTGTTTTCTTCTAACAGTATTACAAGAACTTTAATCCCGTGCACGGAATCGAATGAACCAATTTAAACTTTTAAACTGAATTTGGGAGGCCACTGGTTTACTTAAACCACGCCCTAATTTAGACTTTGTTTAAATAATCGACAAAAAGTCTTCCTTAGAGTTGCTTTGATGTTCATTAAGAAGGTTTTTAAACTTTGTTAGTTATAATTGGAAGAGGCTGAGCGGATGTAAAGAATTATGCAAGAGGGATTTCAAATCTAGCTGTAACAGCACCCGTGTGCCTCAGTTTTGTTTCGTAGTATTTTTAGCTATTTCTTTATTGCAGCCGCTTTTACGTCACAAAGTTTTTTCGCTAGCTGTCACGTGGCCTTAGCTTAAATATCCCAGCACCTGCGTACCTTTTTTTCTGAGGCTCACAGAAATTCGACGGGTAACCATCCCAGGACACACCTTTATTGCGGTTGAACTCAGAACCTACTTGAGCGTTCGCCCCAACACGTCCTACGACGGGATCACTGTAAGAGTTGGCACAATAAACCCCTAAGCGTTATGGAATCTGTGAGTCATTTAGCCGTTTTCTTAGTTTCACGGATCTCTTCTCCGCCGGAGCTGACGCCACTACAGTAGCAGACGTTCTCTAAATAAGGGATGTCATCCGTCTGAGGGGATTTTAATGAGGTTAACCTTCATGATCAGCCGTCGAACGGTCTAAAATTTAACCGTAAGCCGTCGAAAAAGGTAAAATTTTTCTCAACCGTCAAAAATGGAAATAACAAGACCTTACAACTATTTCCAAGTTTTATGAGTGAAAGGCCAAGAAAACCTCCAAAACACACAGTTAATATTAATTCGAACAGAAGTTAAATGTTTGATTAAATCATTGGACTAAATTCCCAGAAGCGTTAATGAAATGTTAATGATTTTAGTTTAAAGACAGCTTAGATTTTTCAGTGTTTTCAAAACTTTGTGTTCATAATAAACTAGATTATTTCTAGTAAAACGCTTGAAATACCAATTGTTGTCTCAATTGATAAGCATTGTAATTGACTTGATTCCCTCTCTTGGAGCGTGACCACAATGAACCCTAGTAGCACTCGGCGCGTTCTAAACCAGGCTACTTTATCATCATCACCATCATAATAATAATAATAATAATAATAATAATAATAATAATAATAATAATAATGATTTATTAACAGATGCACTGGGTGCCGCTCTTCCCTTTTAAATTACATTAATTACAATTACAAAATAAATCAAATTAAGTTATTTCAAATTATACAGTGGAAGCAGGATTAACCGAATCCAATTACAGTAAAACTGACTAATCGCTCTGTACTCTGTTTCTTAAAAAATTCCTTGAAAGTCTTAAAAAGGTTCTGTAATCTTTACAGTTTCTAATAGTTTCTGGTAGATCATTAAACAGCTTCGACGCATTATCTTGCAAAGTGCGGTTTTCGGTCGGAACCACTAATCTAATTGAATTGCTTGAGCGCAGTTCCTTGGGGCATTCCTGTTTTATTATTTTAAGATAATCTGACCAAGTCTCAGTGTTTCCAACGCTTTAAAGCATGATTGCAGGAGGTTTAAATCTCTTCTCTCATTGATTGGAAGCCATCCGATTTTAACTACATCCCGAAAGTTCTTAACATAGTGACCGAGTACAAAACTTGCGGCAGCAAATTGAACCCATTGCAAACGGCGAAGTAACAATTGTGGTCGAGGGTAAAAAACCAGATCGCCATAATCTAGTTTTGACAAATATTAAAAATATCTATTTTTTAATTTTTTTTTTATTATTATTTCTATGGCAAACAAATGTACTATGTCCGCGACCTTTTTGTTTCCATTGTGTAGGATACAAACAACAATTTGCTTAAAAGACGTTAAACGCGTCATAGCCTGCGTAGCAGGGGTAAAACGGAGAGGAAAAGGGGGAGAAGAACGTTCTCTCCCCAATCCCTCTCCCATTCTTCCTGCCTCCCCTCTCAAGATTTAAAGCCTTTTCTTACTATTCTTATTGCTCTTGTAAAGCACTTTTGATATGACTCTAGGATACTGGCGTTACATAATGTTTTATTATTATTATAATGATTGGTTTGAACCCAAGAGTCATTTCATAAGTAGGTCGAGTATGATTGTCTGGGTGAACGTGGTCTTGAATAGGACTGTTGTTGTTGACAGTGACTGACTTTTCGACAACCTGTGCGTAGTCATCTTTAGAGTCAAAGTGAGTTGTATCACGTCAGTTGATAGTCTATACGCGAATGTTGCAAATTCATTTACCTTTGAATCTAGTGCATGGTTCTAAGCTAACTTGAGCGCGACTCTAGCGCGACTTGGTTTCAGACGTAGAATTTAACTCAGCCAAATAAAATAACTGTTGCGGAAAATAAAACTTAAATGTGAAAAGAGGTTTAGTGAACTTTTAAAATGTATTCTAATGTATTATAATTTATGAATTGAGTTCGGCACGGCAGTATAGCAGCACTGTGATGTTTCAAACAGGCCTCACGTTATCACGTGAGTTCTGTAAAGCGTGAACAAACTAGTTTGCAATCACTGGCACTGCGATTGGGCAATAAGAAATTCGTAAGTTTCACTATTTTCCAAAAATAACGTGTTAAATAATTATTTGATTACAAAGACTGGTAATAGTCGTAACATTTAGGTTGGTAAAGCTTTAACTTTTATCAGTTTACTAGCGTCAAGGAAACAAACTGTTGCGATACCATCAAGAGCATTAATTCAGACACTTCAGGCTTAAATTAGGTATGTGCCTATTGCATAGTCCGAAATGTAACCTGGACATGGTTTCTGTTTTAACGTGTTCTATGTTAAACTGTATGATTCACAGAAAATCTTGAGTGTGAGTCAGTCATGCAGTCTATTTGACTTGTTTGTGCCAAACCAAGAGGGTGTGCCGCATGAGAATTTTACAATACAGAGAATCTACACAGAGATAACATCTTTTCTGTTTGCCTTTTGAACGTATTTGACGAAAAATGCTTTAATTTTATCACAAAGTAATTTATATCAAGGCATGTGTTCTAAACAAGGCCCAACTCTGCGCGAGCTCTGCTTGCATTTCCGGTCACGTACTTTCCGAAAAGGAACAGAATTAAAATATAAACAAACAACTGTGTTAGATAAATCTGGCCACGGTTGTGGCAGGTTTAATGAAATCAAAGCTAACATAATCACAACACATCGATATATGTAAACCGATTAACCTACTGAATAAAAAATGGGGCGACAAAAATCCGCCACAAACTACAAAACAAAATATTTAATACCGTGAACAATAATAACCCGCAGGCAGGTGAAGGGGGAGGAGGAGGGAAAGATTTTGCTCGAGATCTGACCGAGTTGATGACGAGGGAGAGAAGGAAGAATTACTGGGAAAATATCTCGATATACCTACTTAACCCTGACACCGCCCTATAACCTAATTGGCTAGATTTGCAGTACCTGGTACAGCCTGACCTAGCGAGTTATCATATCATGTGAGTATCATGCCTTGCCATAAATTACATTATGTCTGCCATAATGTCTAGTTATTCATTAAAATGTAGTTTGATAAAAATTCTTTTAAGAATTTTTATGGCGCAACATTATATTGTATTATTCTAAAGTTGGAACATGAAGAAAGCTTTCAGTTTCCATTCTCCGCTTCATCGATCACATCGACTTCAGGTTGTTTCGATTCTACGACCAACATTTGCGTCCAAGGTTTGCTTTTAGTTGGTAACACATGCAAACCTTTCTTAGTCTTTTCCGTGAAGTGCTTGCTCGGTATTTCTACTTACCTAAAGGCAATGATTTCAGCTTCTAACAGCTGTGGCCAAAGTTGATAATGAGGCAAGCTCTAATGAACTCACGGTTCTTGCACATTAAGTTGTTTGATTTCAAAGAATCTGTTTGGCATTTAGCTACTACTAAGTATCATTTCGTTGATGTGATATCAAAGTGAGTCTGCACTACCTTATCGTTAACGTATCAGTTTGAGGCCTTTTGCCATGACAATCTTACGAGCTTCGAGTTCACTACCTTGTTAACGTAAACGCTTTTCTCTGGGTCTTATTTGTAATTTAAATTCTTGCATGACAGACATTTTAGACAAAACAAGCTGATAGACACAGCAAACAGCTAACTTGAACTTGCAATGCCTTAGTAACCGTAAAGTGTTCATTAGAAGCCAGAATACTGCGTATTAAAAAAAGACCGACCTTATAATATTCTCAGTTTCCTAGGTTGTAACGTTGAATCAAATGAGTCTGACAAGTCACGTGACTGCGAAAATCCATCATTCAAAATGAAACTGATATCCTTTTATGAAAAGAGCTGGGCCTATAAAGTTTTAAGTCAAAAGATTTTAATCCTCTTTGAGTCAGACTACCCCCTACAAATTTCCTGAGACCCTTTCTTCAATTCACCCGAGACGTTCCATTTCAAGGTCGCTATTGACAACCTGGAAGTTTGCTGCATGGATCCCGATATGGAGCACCATTACAAAGAACTCCTTCATCAGTGGAAAAAGGATGAAGACAACATAAAAGATGAGTTAAAAGAAATTAGCACTGAAGTAAAAGAAGTTAGCACTGACGTAAAAGAAATGAAGGAGCTAACAAAGAAGCTTGACAGCTTGGTGGCATCAACTCTTACTCCTGAGGTGCAATTAAGCAATGAAGGTGGGTATATATATAGAGGCGATCAGAGACTTTATTAATCAACTATTGTGTATTCAGAAACGACCACTATGAGAAAAACGTAACCGTCCAAAACAACAGCTTTTGAAATTAAATGACAAAGTCGACTTTTTGACAAATCACGTCTGACAGGATCGTGAACAATGGTTATCCCGGCTTTCACAGCCAATGAAGGGGCTTGATTAATAAAAGGTGGTCCTTTTATCTCCTCAACCCAGTAGGGAAGAAAGAAAGGCAAGGGACTGACCAACATTCCTCGTCGGCTCGGTAGGCCTTCAAAAAACAAGCCCCGAGTTTTGTTTAAACATAATGAATCAGGCGTAAATACAAAAACTCTAAGTGGGATGCAAGCAAGACGCCTAGTTTTTTTGTTGTTGTTTTTTTGTTGTTTTTTTTTTCCACAGCTTTATTGGGTGCTCCTCTTGTAATATACAATATAAATTTATAATACAACACACAAAAAAAAGGAAAAGAAAAGAAGCAAAAACCCAAAAGGGGTAGGTGCAACGGCACTAACGTCCCATGCGAGGCACCGCCCCTAGGTTAAAATAAAATAAAATGAATACTCAAACATTCGTACAAATAATAAAATAAATTACGAGTGGCATGGGCACGTAGGGACTAGTGCCACGTGTAGGGGTAATTGATTTCATATACCCGCGACAGGTGAGTGCTCATTAATTTGCGAACAAACAGTTGAAAGGCAGTAGGCAAGGAAAAACTGGTTGGGGGTGCTAGCTTACAAACATAGTTCCCTAGTTGAACTATACGGTTAAAGTACGAAGCCTGAAAAGTTGATGTTTTGCAAAAAGGGCTGCGAAGATTAAAGGAGTTACTTAGTCTTGTACGATCATGGGAAACAAAAGATACATAATTCCGAACATCTAAATCGGTACTACAGTAAAGGCATTTATAAAAAAAGATCAAATCTTTAAGTTCACGATCCAGAGAAAGTGGAAGTAAGTCTAGCAAAGTTAGCCGCTCTTTGTACGACGACTCGTCTCTGCGCGTGCGTTAAATCCACCTGCTTGCACGTCTCTGCACCTGTTCCACCTTAGCATTCAGAGTAAAGTAAGCGGGCGACCAGACTTGGGTGGCGTAACACAGCTGTGACTTGACCAAAGACAAATAAAGTGTGCGCCTAACAGAGACGCCAGTAAGCAGGGGACACGTCCGTTCAAGCAAACCAAGAAGCTCGTTTGCTTTCGCAGTGATAGTGTGGATGTGTGAGTCCCAAAAGAGCGTATTAGTTATGATGATGCCAAGATCTTTTTCTTCTGAAACGCGTGTTAGGGCTGTGCCATCAAGGGTGTAGTCAAAAGCAATCGGAGTCTTTTTCCTAGTCACAGTTAGTATTTTACATTTGGACTCATTAAATCTAATATTTTTGCGCTGCGACCAGACGTGCATATTAGAGAGAGTGTCTTGTATGAGGTCACAGTGTTCTGCAGACGAAACATTTCGGTATAGCTTGGTGTCGTCGTCGTAGAGTTCAACCTTCACGCCATAAGCAGCTTCGTCCGGCAGATCTTAGGCAGATTTTAGGCCCCTTGTTGTTCACTTTGTTCATAAATGATTATATTAACTTAACTTTATCAATAAAGTTAATAAAGTTAAGTTAATATAATCATTTATGAACAAAGTGAACAACAAGGGGCCTGAAATGCTCCCCTGCGGAACGCCAGAGGTTACAGGAGACCAATAAGAAGCCGCATTCTCAAGAACCACCCTTTGTGTACGCTCAGTTAGGTAGTCCTTGAACCAGCAGAACAGTTGACCTTTTACACCGTAAAGCCTCAGCTTTGTCAGAAGAGCGCTGTGATCGACAGTGTCAAAGGCCTTAGCAAAGTCCAGGTAAATCATATCTGACTCAATGTTATTATCCAAGGACTGACCAGCTGTGTGTAGGACTGACAAAAGCTGAGTAACACAAGAACGATTTGGGAGGAATCCATGCTGCAGTGCACTTATCAAGTCTTTCAAATGATCGTAAAATCGATTGCCCACGCAGCGCTCCAGAACTTTGCTAACAATTGGGAGTAAGGATATAGGGCGATAATTTTTTGCATCCTCTTTAGAATCTTTTTTGTGGGTAGGTGTAACATCTGTTGATTTCCAATCACGAGGAATTTGACCTATGTTTAGAGAGTGATTAAAAAGGGAACACAAGCTGGGTGCTATTTGCTCGCTGCACTTCTTCAGCAGGCGAGCTGGAATTTTGTCTGGACCGGACGCTTTTGATGTGTCTAGCTCACTCAAGCGTTCCATTACTTCGGTGATTGTCAGTTGAGTCGTTCATTTTTATACTTACGGCAAACCAGCAGATTCAAGTACGAGCTCAATCCCGAGAAAATTGTTCGATTTTCTGGATTTTCAGTTTCTTGTCCTTGTGATTATATATTCCTGCGTTATAACATAGAACGTATAAACAGGGACGGCGTAAGTATAAGCAGCAGCATCAAAAACGTGACACTCGTTACAGAACCCCGTTTTTCTGACCATATTGGTTTTTTTGGCAATTTTTTAAGGAAGGGCAACATATACAATCGCCAATTTTGATACTTTTTTACGCGCATAAATTTAATGTTCAGCTTATGCACCGTCTTACTGTTGAAAGAGCCATTGGTGGGGTAAGGTTGCCCTATTGGCTAGCCTGAGTTAGGTCGGATCCCACTTCTGTTGCCCTACTGGCTGGCTTGAGTTAGGTCGGATCCCACTTTTGAACTTTGTTAAGGTTGCGTTCTATTTAGCCAAACATTTTTACGGATTTATACAATCCAGATTGTTTGGATTTTCGTGCTAGCCGGAACAAGATTAATCCCTACAGTAGCTGCCGTGCTGCTCTGATTTTCTTCTCAGTTCCACACATCGTATTGTATTTCTTTCCGCTAAATTTAAAGCGTCCTGTGGTAGATGAATGGAAAGTAAAGTAGCTCTTTAACTAGTGGTGGTACATACCGGGACCTGTCAACTTTAAATTCTCTGGAATTAACTCTCCACCAGTGAAAACTCACAGGACACTAAGCTTCCCAGTTATTGCACATGCTGCTCCACCGTTAACTTTGATTATTATTCATTCAAAATATTTCCCCGATTCTGATTAGCTAAAGCACGCGCATGATTCACCATAACCAGCTACTGATGACCAAATTTGGAAGAATTTTGCGTTTAATGAAGCTTTTTTGCAGGTTAATGCACTGTTAACCGAGAAGACCTGGGGACGAGGTTGAGTTGTTTTGGTTGTGAGAACAAAAATGGCGGACATTTCACTCGTTTCGAGAGTAAGAACTAGGCGAGATAATAGCTAAAAACGTGGCAAGGTCAGCAAGAAGACAACTCGACGGGCGACATCTGCTATTTGGGGAATATTTGCGGAGCTGAACAAAAGCTAAACGTGCGCTATCGAAGATGAACTAAACATCCATGGATCATGTTTTAGCCATGTTTTTAAAATAGGAATTAATTCGAATGAATGATAAAACAATTATTGAATTTAGCTTTTGTATCATATGAAGAATTATGCAATGGAGATCTCGAAGGGTGTTATCCGCCTCGGCCTACGGCCTCAACGGATAACACCCTCCTCGATTTCCATAATTCTTCATAAGATACTCAGCCTCATTCATTAATTGTTAATTAACTAACTCCATTTTATTTCTTTCTGCATAAGGCAATGCCACAAACCTGAAAGAGATGTTGGACACATCGTTTACGTGCAGAGAGAAATTTCACGAGAATGAACTCCTGACCTTATACTGTAAACAGTGCAAAGTGTGCATTTGTGACAAGTGTAGACAGACTCGACACAATCATCACGCCGCCATGGATATCCACCAAGCCGCAGAACAACGCAAAGTCGACATCGAAGAGATGGTACAAGAAATGAAAAAGAAAATTGCTGATTACACGGAGAATATGGAGAGAACAAAACAATCCTTCAGGAAAAGCAGAGAGAGGATTGCTTCTACACGCAATAGCGTAATGACTTCTGTTGCAGAACTCATGCGACTTTTACAGGAACACGAAAAGTTTGTGATAGCCAGATTAGACTTAAGTGATTCAAAAGTACAGAGAGAGGAAGCAGCACAATTGCAACATTTTGAAATTTGTAGGAATGAGTTGCAAACACAGGTCGAATGGTGCGAGGGCATCTTACAGAAGAATGATAGCGTGAAAATTCTGCAAGCCCACGATGATGTAATTCGGCCATCCAGAGGTCTTCGAGGCGCAGAGAAACTAAACATTTACAAACCATCGCATTTCAGATACGAGATAAATAAAGAGCATGAGGAGACTGTGAGAAGTTTAGTTTCGGCGGTGGGTATAGTAGTTGAGAGTAACACAGATCCCTTGCAGTGCGTGGCTGAAAGAGGAATGGGGCTGTGGAAAGGAGAAGTTGGAATCGGAGCAATAATCAAAGTAAAGACAAAAGATTCGGAAGGAAACCTTTGCTACGATGAAGATGACCAGGTTTATGTGAAAGTTCAGTCACCGGCAGGAAAAGAAGCGAGCTACCGTTTGACTGCTCCTGGCAAAAATGGTGAATATAGCCTCACTTACACACCAGATTGTGATGGAGAACATGAAATGGAGATTGCCGTTAACGGTGAGCCACTGTCTGGTAGTCCATGGTTTCTTGAGGTTGCTCCACATCATTACAAACTTTTATTTTCTTTTGGTTCATACGGAAGAGGACAAGGACAATTTAACGAGCCCAGTTCTATTGTAATAGATGAAAAGTCAGGAAAAGTTGCGGTGGCCGACAGGGAAAGGATACAGCTATTCAGTTTGGAAGGGACGTATCTAACAGAAATAAGACCAATTGAATCCACATCAGTAGCATTCAACAAGTCAGGTGAACTGATAGTTATTGCTTCTAATAAGATTTTATGTTTCGATGAAAGTTATAATCTTGTAAGAAATGTTAGCAACAAATACCTAAAGCAACCAGGCCGCCTGACTATTGCAGGTGATGGACGCTTGATGGTGTGTGACTGGGGTGATAAAACACTGAAGGTCCTATCACCCGATGGCTCACAGCTGCTACTCACTATCAGTGATCCTGACCGTGAAACTCCATTTTGTCCTTTGCATCATCAGAATATGTTTTTTGTTTCCTTTCCTGATTTCTCATTTTTCTACATTAAACGTGAATTTAACATAAAGGTATTTAGCGAGGATGGTGTGTTTCTACGCCAAAAATATTTGGGGAACTGTTCTGGTCACATTGCAATTGATAGATTCAATAACCTTGTGGTGTGTGCTGAGGATAAAGAAAACCTAAAGATATTAAAACTTGATGGAACACTTGTCAACGAAATAGAGGAATGTTCTAAGCGTATTCATCCTCTTTCTGTTGCTGTGTCAGGCACTGGCCAGCTGTTTGTTACTGATACGTATTTCAACTGTGTGCATGTTTTCCAGTGAGAGACATTCTGTAAATAACAATCATTACAGCAATTAGACATATTTTAATTGATTTATGCAATAGCTTTACCCAACTGTAAAAGAAGTACCAGAAGTGATTTTTTTATTAAGCTATTTAGGCTCTTTCCTATTTTCTGACTACTGAAAATACCTCGTGATATCAGAATAACTTTATAATTAATTTTGTAGACATATTTGCTTCTTTTGGTTTACTTTTACGCCAATGATGTCAGCATACCACAGTGATACCGCACGTTTAGAAACTCACCAATCGGCTTTTGCACGGCTTTATATCTGGCTTTACAAACTACAAACAATAAACACCCCAAAAAACACCCCGCAGTTTTTGCCAACGAGCCATCCGAGCGAAGACGCTTGGATGGCGTGGCGGCAGCAGAATGGAGCCGCGCAAGACTGGGTTGATAGGCAGAAAAATTCTCGATCGAGCTGAAAAAAGTGTAACCTGATGTAATGTAGATTCCCCTGAGACCAAGGTCCGTGGGTCATTCGTCCATTTAGTTTTCAATTAAAAATTAAAAATTGAAAATCGATGTCAATTTTTGATTTTCCATTTTTTTTCTTCCTGCATAATGGATAAACAGCTTTCATAATTGTTTTACCGTTTTCCCCTGTAAACAAAAATGAGAAAATGAACACACAGCTCTTACTTTCTACAATCAATATTAGAACGGTTGTCGAACCATAGATATTTTAGCTATTCGCGGGAAAACCGTTTCCGCAGTCATCTGTCAACTACTATGACGTGAATTAAGAAAAGAAAATTGAAAATTGAATGTTGCGATCAATTTTCAATTTTTGTTTTTGGACGAAGAATTGCTGAATCGATCACGCTCTAAGTGACGAAAGTACCAAGAGGGGAGGACCCAAGTGCAGAACTGCCCAGGAGGAGTAGGGCGGGGTGGGAAGGGAGAAGGGACTGAAGTGGGGTGGAACATGGGGAGGGGCCTTGCAATTGTCCGCCATCTTTAATGTCGGACACGTCCTGGGAACGAGCCTCAGGAAAGAAGCGGGAAATACAACTTTGGAGTGCTGTTTCAGCCTAAATATGGACGCCGTAAACGTCAATTTCGTGAGAGATCTTGTTGTGACGCAGGGAAAAACACATTCACAAGTCAGTTTGTTGCTACAAGAAGCATATCCTGGAAAGAGAGGCTTAAGTCCGCGGTCGGTTAGAAGTTTTTGCCTTAAAAATGGAATACACGCGCAAAATCGGCTCTCAAGCGAAGAGCTGGAACACTACACGAAAGAAGTTGTTGCTGGGTGGGTATTTTTGCTTGAAATTCTTTTTTTTTTTTCCTGTGGGAAAAAAATGGTTGAATTAAGAAACTTTTTATAAAGTAACATCATGAATGTATATTGTTCGGAGAAACGTTGTTGGTACCACACGTAAACCGTTCATCACCAACCTTCACAATCTTTTCAAGGCTACCGGTCCATAAAGACATCCTGTTCAAGGCGCTAAATAGTGAAATTGTATAACCTGTTTAAGACTCAAGACCCGGATACCGCACCCTATTCAGCGCCACGTACCCTTCTAGGCCAAATAAGGGACTGCGCCCCTAAGAGTGGAGATGAAATCCTCACTCTATTCCAAATCAACATTGATCACCATTGGCAGACTGATATATGTCTAATACATTTAAATTTCACCATCATAGTAGGAGTAAAACCTTACATTTTCTTTAGGAAAAGTCTGGAAGTCTCAGGCAAAATGCAATAACTATGACGTTGCAAACTGATGACACCAAAAGCATACGCTTTCTGTCAACTCCCTCTTAGCCTGTGTGCAGACGTCCCCCCTCCCTCAGAAAAAAAAAAGATTTTTTTTTTCTGAGGGAGGGGGGGCCTCTGTACACAGGCTACTCCCTCTTGACTATCTTAACTAATCAACTTTCAATCGGATGGACACTTTTTAAATTGGCAACTTGGAGATGTCTCCTAAAGGTGTCCATCTCAAAGACAGTTGAAATATATCATATTAAGTTCTTGATGTGTTTTACTCAAGGTTGGACCCACATGGGGTAGAAAAATGGTGAAAGGATATATGGCCAGTTGTGGTATAACAGCTGGTGACAAGCGCATTGGAAAAACTTTGTCAATTGTCTCCCCTTTGTACCAAGTCCAGAGAAATACTAACACTGCCAGGCAAACCAATCCCTATCCTTACCATGCTGACTATTTTGGTCACAAATTGCACATGGGCCAAAATGAAAAACTGTCAATGTATGGATTGACTGAAGTCAGTGCATGTGATGGCTATAGCGGAAAGATTGTGGCTTTTGCAACAATGCCAGTGAAGAACAATGTTTTGATCTATGAGAATGTTTTAGGTATAGTATTCAACAATTCTTTAAAAATTGCTATTATTACTATAGGTGATAATAATATTATAATTATTGCAGCAGTGTTGCCACCTTAACAACAAGCACTTCCAGATAAGAAGTACCAGCAAGAGTATAAATAGTGAAAAAAGAGAAGCAGCCAAGTAACAGTGATGAATATATCACGAAAACAAGCATAGATCATATTAAAATTTGATTTACGTTTATCTACTCATCTTTGTATGTGTTATTGAAGTTTAAATACTACATCTTATATTTGCTTTTCTCTTTGAAGAACTACGGTCATTCAGCATGGCATTTGGGATCAACTCAGAGTAGACGATGGAACAGAGCTCTATCTCTCTTTGTATGTACAAGAAAAAATGTCTCCATATAGGACCAATACAAGAAGGGCACCATTTATACAAACAACTTCGAAGGTGGTGTTTGTTTAGTGAACATGTCACCATTATTATTATTATTATTATTATTATTATTATTATTATTATGATAACCATTAATCATTCAATTTATTATTATCATTTATTGTTATTTTTCTCATTTCAAGAATCATCCTGCTGAGAGAAAATGGGTAGAGTTTAACTCCCTTGCCAACTACCCTATTAAACGAGCTCTAAATGCTATGGTGAATGAAGACCTAATAAATATGGATGATGACATGAACAAGTTCTGTGTATCATGGTTTACCTCCAGGGTAGCAGACATTGCAATTAAACAAGTTATTTCCAGCTGGAACAACCATACTATCCCTGGTAAGAGTTTATTGAGGTGGTGGTGGTTCAGTAAACCCAGCCTATGGAAAATCAATATTAATCCCAACTGCCAAGTTAAATATGACAGGTAACGAGAATTAAGAAGGGGTCTCTTAAAAAACAACACATTCTCAGGTGAATTAAATTACTCGATAGTCATCTGTTGGGATAATTAACTTTCTGAGTGTGGGAATGCTACACCAATAAAGCTCAATAACAAAAATTGTAAAAAACTGAATATCTTAATAATTATTGTTTTTACTGTCAAGAGACATCTTTCTTCTTGAACATCAGTGTTTCTATTCTAACAGGAAAGGGAGTTCCAGATAAAAGAATGGAGGAAAATAAGAAGACATTTATCCTTCCATCTATGGACATGCTTCACACTAGTGAAGAAGATGTCTCTGTTATGAAAGGGATGGTGGCAATCTTAGATCTCCAGAAGTGTTTGGAACTGATATCCTAGCTGGGAACAAACAGCTCCAGCAATTGCGTTCTGATAACTTTAATGCTGCCTACCCTAGTTTCGAGGTCATTTTCTATTGCCTTGTGAATGGTGATCATCACCCATTTAGAGAGGGCCTAATGAATTTCATTGATCTAACTACAACATATAATCCAAACTAACTGTTAGAACAACCACAATATTTAATGATTTCAATATATCTCTTTTTATTTTCATGAAATTGAATACTTATTACATCTGCTAAGTAGAAATGGTAAATTATGATTTTCAAAACCATTCATGAAACTCTGTGAAAATATCACTACGTTGTTTTACTTGAATTAAGATGTGAAATAAAATATTCAAATTTACAACAGATTCCTGCTTTACCAAATATCAACATGATCAAACAAAATCAAAACTGAAAAGCCAGTATTTTCATTAATGTAGATTATTTCTCTTTTCCATCATTAATCACTTTCATTACTTTCATCAGATTTGATCAACTTCCTTACCCCAACTAAAAACTCATTTAAGCCTTTAAACTGAAAGGTAGAGGCATTACCTCTTGGTTCATTGCAATGTGGACACTTCTTACCAAGTCCGTCAGCCCCATCATACCAATGATTAACACATTCCTCACAGCCAATTAAGCTGTTACAACACTTTGATGCAATTACTGGGGGTTTCATAGGTGTGGAGAGACAGATTTTGCATATGAAAGCATCTCTTATAAGTTTGACTACCCCTAGTGGCAAGGACAAAATTTGGTTTACTTTCAATGTGTCACTGACCATTAATTTGACTTCATTTATTTGAGAATTTACAATTTGAATATCTCCATGGTTATCACCTCTAGTCTTCTTGGGAGTGAAGTCTTCATCACTGCCATCAGAAATGTCATAACATGAGCTGTAACTTGCTTTTGCCTTTGACTTGGCTGATCTCTTTAAAGGAACATGTGTAGTGACCGTTCCAGCATAACTTTTTCTGCTTCCACACTTCCAAAAAGACAAACCTACAAAAAACACATACACAAGTTAATACAATGTTGATGACGATGAAGATCAATGACTTCACAAAGTTCAAACAATAGAGTAAATGGACCAATATTTTCCCAGTGCCCTTGTTCTAATATTTCGACTGAACTCGCAGTACAGGACAAAAGTGACATTGCATAGAAGAACTTTGAAGAATATTCAGCTGTATATTTGTGACAGACTGATTTTCGAAACAGTAACAAAATGTTACTGATAATACACCCCAATGATTATGTGTGGATATTCAAGACCTATGGATATTTCAAGACCTATATATGTTATGCGATGGTAAAGACAACAATGCAAATAAATTACGCTGTGGCTATATGGCCGGTAACCGGTCAAGGCGTTAAAAACACTAAATGACCGGCAGTCCCATATTCTCGGTGAATTTCACAAAATCGAAAGATTCTAGCTTATCTAAACTATCATATGTCGATTAAGACAAGTCAAGCGATCCGGAAATGCCTTATAGATCTCAAGTCTAGTGTTTGGTTTGCGCTGGGCTCAGAAGACGAAACCATGTTTTGTGACACTTAGAACTTTTTTCAGCTCGACTGCCGGTCAAGGTTTTCAAAACACTAAATGGCCGGCAGTCCCATATTCTCAGTAAATTTCATAAAATCGAAAGATTCTAGCTAATCTAAACTATCATATGTCGATTAAGACAAGTCAAGCGATCCTGAAATGCTTTATAGATCTCAAGTCTAGTGTTTTCTTGTGTTTTCCAGAAGCAGCAGACCCAACCAAAGCGTAGCCTGTTCCAGGCTCCGAGATAGTGGTGAAAAGTCGTTCAGTAAAAGGAAATGCGAAAAACGCGCAGGGGCTGGGGAGAGTCGCGCGCGTCTTATTTTCGCTTTGCTCGTTTTAATACGTCCGCACTATACTATCTGAGAGTCTGGCACAGGCTACGCTGGGCTCAGAAGACGAAACCGTGTTTTGTGACACTTGAGAACTTTTTTCAGCTCGACTGCCGGTCAAGGTTTTCAAAACACTAAATGGCCGGCAGTCACATATTCTCAGTAAATTCCACAAATTAAAAAAATTCAGCCGTTCTGAACTATCATAAGTCGTGATCCTGATCAAACCAGCCGGTTTTGTGGGATTTCTATATCATGTTTTTGTCGGTCTCGAGTCTTCAGGTCTTTGGATGTTCGTTGATATTTTCTGTCCAAAGCATGGCGTGACAGGCGACGTTTCACGTCATAATGGCCTCTGCAGAAAACCGTCGGGAAAAGTCTCCACGCTTTGGTTAGCCTGTGCGAGGCTCTCAGAAAGTATAGTGCGGACGTATTAAAACGAGCAAAGCGAAAATAAGACGTGCGCGACTTGGAAAAGGGGGCAGTGGCGGTTCTCTCCTCAGCCCCTGCGCGTTTTTCGCATTTCCTTTTACTGAACGACTTTTCACCAGTATCTCGGAGCCTGGAACAGGCTAAGCCAAGCGTAAACCAAACACTACACTTGAGATCTATAAAGCATTTCAGGATCGCTTGACTTGTCTTAATCGACATATGATAGTTTAGATTAGCTACAATCTTTCGATTTTGTGAAATCTACTGAGAATATAGGACTGCCGGCCATTACGTGTTTTGAAAACCTTGACCGGCTTAACCGGCCACATAGCCACAGCGAATAAATTATATTACTAGTAACCTTTAATGCCTTCGTTGTCCATTATCCTCAGACCATTACTAGATACCAACTCCAAAGAGGGATCATTGAAGGCATCTCTTGCCTTGGATAGAATATAGTAGACATTGGCTGTATCTACATTGATGTTAAGGTATGTCTGCCCAAGCTCACTGAAAGATGGGGATCCTTTAGCATTCTGGGTCATTTCTGCATGAATAACCTTCACAAGGGCACCACCTTTCCGTTTATTTCCACCAAAGAGTGCAGGCCTTGAAGAGCTTCCAGGATTGACCCCATATGAGAATACTTGACTAAGCTGTCCAGAGTGCTGCTCTGCAACTTGTGGGCCATATGAAGAGGGGGGCTGCACAAATTCCCCCATCATTTGCAGTGAGGTTCCATTCATTAGGTGACCGATATTAAACCGACCTGCATCATTTGGCCAAAAGGTCATATCTCCAAATTCTTCTTTGAGATGTAACGAGTTCGCTTCAACCTAAAATGTAGGATTTTTACGTTAAAGAGATGTTCAAAGCTTAAATATTAAGGAATTAGATGGTTCGAGGTTGTGTTTACTTACGTGAAAAGCTCGCGAAAGTCGAGCTACATTTATGTCGCCCGGATTCATTCGAATTCGTAGCTCTTTTCCTTCTCGACTTAAATCGAAACTCCATAGAGATGCCATACTAAATGGACCGACGTAAAAGTACAACGAACGAATTCAACAAAGGGAGACCTGACCATCAACAGAGAGAAGATTCGTCCGAAACACAACCTTGATGAAAAAGACAGGTACAAAAAGCGCGCGAAAAACCATGGGTGTTGTCAAAGTAATAAGACACAGTGGGGAGCCCAGAGTCAAATATTTATTTTAGTCAAAAATAAAACCTAGTAAATGTACATTATTCTAAAAAACATAAGCTTAAGTACAATTTCTCTACTTTCAACAAAGGAGGTTGGGAATTTCTAAGTTTTGATGGTACAGCGGCGGTTCAACAAAGAGAGAACTCAACCCTGACCTCCGTCCCCATGGCGTCTTTGTTTTCAACTGACTCGGGCGGGTCGGGTAGCATGTAGCTTGGGCAAGTACAAGGCCCCCCACCTCAGTCCCTTCCCCTCTTCCCTCCCCTCCCCTACTGGACACTTCTGCACTTGGGTCCTCCCCTCTTGGTACTTTCGTCACTTAGAGCGTGATCGATTCATCAATTCTCCGTCCAAAAACAAAAATTGAAAATTGATCGCAACATTCAATTTTTAATTTTCTTTCCTTAATTCACGTCATAGTAGTTGACAGATGACTGCAGAAACGGTTTTCTCGCGAATAGCGAAAATATCTATGGTTCAACAACCATTTTAATAATGATTGTAGAAAGTAAGAGCTGTGTGTTTATTTTCTCATTTTTGTTTACAGGGGAAAACGGTAAAACAATTATGAAACCTGTTTATCCATTATCCAGAAAGAAAAAAATTGGAAAATCAAAAAATTGACATCGATTTTCAATTTTTAATTTCGAATTGAAAATTAAATGGACGAATGACCCACGGAGCGACTAAGTGGTCAGTTTTCAACCAATCAAAAGGCAGTACCTGTCGCACGGGCTAAAGTTGAATTAAAATACAAAATTTCACACAATTCCCGCCGTCGCGACTTCCTGTGTTTATTTACCTAAATTTATTTGTCAAACCTGGCCACTGTAGTCAAGAAACATGAGCACTTGATATACTGTATTAATTTTAGGGGCCATAATGTTAAGTTTTAACGAAGAGAAGTTTGTAAAACAGCAAAAGTGTTCCATGTGCAACAAGCAATATTCTCACTAGCCTGTGCCAGGCTCTCAGATAGTATAGTGCGGACGTATTAAAACGAGCAAAGCGAAAATAAGACGCGCGCGACTTGGGAAAGGGCCCCTGCGCGTTTTTCGCATTTCCTTTTACTGAACGACTTTTCACCACTATCTCGGAGCCTACCCTGGGTACCAGAGGTTTTTCTCGCGTTCGGCGGGAAGTTTCGGTGTTGGCCGAAGGCCGACACGTCTTCGGCCGTAGGCCGGAGCCGCGAGAAAAACTTTTCGCGCGGGTCACTATAAAGACTTGACAGAAACCGGAAACCGCGCTAGAAGAGTCTCTGGCACCCAGGGTACTCGGAGCCTGGAACAGGCTATATTCTCACCACTAAACAGGATCAGATTACACGAGGAGATAAGGAAAGCTTGACACGAAGAATGCAGTCGCTTCTGTTGGAAAACCTGGTATTGGTGAAAAAATCTAACCAGCAAACCAAAAAAATTAGAATAAAAACGAATTACAAGCCTAAAGCGAACGACAAAGGAAAAGAAAACAAAGCGTTTTTTTTCGAAACCTGGCCGAGTTTATAAAGAAATGAAATAAAATACCGACGTGCCGTACATCGCATGACCTAGGAAACATTTCAAATTAAATGGCGCAGCGAATCATTTTCAATCGCCGGGTAACAAAAAGCCTCGGGAAATTTGAAAGGAGGATTAAATGATTAAACTGTGCAAATATTTATCTACGATGTGAAACCTAACCGACAGTAGATCATGTAGCTGGACTTAATAATAGTGCCGATCGCTTCCTCTGCAAAGCTGATTTTATTCTTTCAAAAAAGATCCCTCGTGACACTTCACACTTTTACTTAGCAGGTTTGTAAAGCCACCAGACTGAATCTGAGAACTGACTCTCCTCCGGAACCTCATAAAGTACATGGATAACACCTTTTCAAGAAAATAATCCTTGCAACAGGAAGGGCCCAAGAAACGGTCAAATGGGGGAAAAAGGGAATTTTCTTCCTAAGCAAAATACGCATGATTTGCTCGTTGGCACTCTATCGATAGGTATTCCTAGTAGTATGATAATACAAAGACGTAACAAAAATATGGTAGCAAGTAATTAAAGAAGCTGAACGACGGAGTGGCAAATTTTTAGAAAATGAAGTCTTGTATAAGCGAAGCGTGTTGAAGTTCATGCATGACAGCCAGAATTTTTCTTGGGTATATCATTTCAAGTTAGACTGTTCACAGTCCCCTTTTTTCCGTGAGATCGTCGAGATATAGCGCGTCTTACAATGAATGGCGGCCATCTTGATTTTCAAATGTACCGAGGGGGCGGGCGTCGGGGATTATAGCTTTAGGGATGAAAGATGGCAGCCCGTAAAGCATAGCACTTGATCTCGACGGCGATCTTACGGGAAAATAGGGGACTGTGAACAGTCTAATTTCAAGATAAAATCAATGTTTATTTAATCGCTTCAAAAATACATTAATAATTCATGAGCTCAACAACCTATCACGTCCGCTATTAAAAATCCGTCATTTGCTCGTGTTTTAAACCCTGGTAAAACACTTTCAAGCTAAAAAGCCAATTGCCTAGGGGCGGCATTTGATTTCAGTCTCAGGGGAGTGTGGGGCTGATTATATTTTCCATCATTGATATTCTTTATTAAAGAATTTCATCCTTATAAGTATTCTTTGTATAAAAATACTAATAAGGGTGACATAATTGCACGTGACCTATGAATATTAATTATAAGCATGGCAACTGACAGAACAAATGGTGAGTGAATATTTAATGTTCTTTCAAAGTAACACACGCAGTAAATTTACTAGTGCAAAAAATTAAAATTTGCTCTTTCACCAATTTAATCAGCTAAACGTTCAGCGACACAGGGGTAATATTGGCTGTAGCAGTGTTGCAGTCAAGACTTGCCAGTTGTGAATACGCAAGGCTCGAGTACTGGATTTTTGTTTACCTACCATTCGGCCATTCCAGAAAAAGTTTTTTAATTACTTTTTCAGTAGAATAGTTGATTTTGGGGCCATTTTCAATTAACTTCCTCTCCGTTCCTCGGCATTTTTCGGCTTCCGAAAACCTCTGGTACAAGACGCTATGTCCTCTTCGGTTAGTGTCGTTCGTGGACTAGAAATTTCTAAACACGTGTGAGATTTGATTTTCTTACAAAATAATTTCATATGTCTGAATGTTTTTTTCGTGTGCTAATTTCCAACGTTCACAAAAGCGAGCTATCAACTCAATTGAGACAAGCTTTTCCGGGAATGTTTTTGAAGTCGTTCAATATACTCGCGGGTCGTGTTTTATCGGGGTACAAAGCCACTCGGCTTCGCCTCGTGGCTTTATTTTGTTTATACCACGATAAAACACTCCCGCTTGTTTATTAAACATTACATCACTTCTCTATTTTCTAAACAATGCACGAGTATCCTATAGTTGCGGCGAGCATTGGCTAGCAGCAACACTATTTTTAATTACATCTAAGGAAATCAGTCGAAATCAGGGGGCGCCACTGAAGCAAATA